CCTGCCGACCTCCATTCATTTGCGCAGCCGTAGCAAGGCCACCAACATACAAACGAGCGCGCAGTCGTCATCGCGTGACGTGACTTCATGCGAAGCGGGCTCATCGTTCAACTCACTCCGTAAAAGTGAACCAGTCAAAATAAGCTTTATTCGTTTGATTTTGTTTGCTCAGTGTTGATTCTTGATGACGCTTTGACTCATTAGCATGTCATGCTAGCATCTTATGCCACTGTTTGTTGTCAAAATGTGAGCGGTTCGCCGAAGAGGAAATGCAATTGAGCCAGGACAATTATTGCTCTGGTTTATGTCTTTAACTAGTCCACGAGTCTGTTCTGTGCAGAAAGAATGCCACTGACATCATCGACAAATTGACTTCAACTCAACTGTGGTCACGTCACACTGTAGTCGACGACATCAAAAATCTTTCGTGCATCTCTTTGTTAGCAAGTTGTACAAAAAGTATGGAAACCTTAAGTGGTTGCACGTTCAAAAGTTTCCCAGAGGTCGTTATGTTCACCTGTGAATTGTGTTTTGGGTTGGTCCTGAAATTTGGCCCCAAATCCTCCCTCACTTTTTGTGGGTTGTGTGGATTCTTGTCAAAGTCGTGGCTTTCTGTAGGCTAACCCCCAAACAGTTGTTTTTCCGTGTTGTTGCCGTCTGTTGGCCTTGGGTGCCCTGCAGCACTTTGGAGTTTTGCATAGCTAACTGTGCAGCGCACGCACCTTCTTGTTGGTGCTTGATGATGACAAAAAAAAGAAATGTTGACATTCATATCCACTTTGCTGGATTCTTTATCGCCGACCGTATGGAAGAGGTGATCGAATTCTGAGAAAATGTTTGATTTTGTTGTTCCAAGGCTCTCTCGCGTCGAGAGGTGTTTGTGAGTATCTGTCAGAGTGTGTGTCTGTTTGTGTGTGTCTGTATGTCTGTCCCTGGTCACTTCTCAGGGTCTTCTGTTTTAAGAGTCAAGCGAGTTGTGTTCCACACCTCCCCCCTTCCACCTTCATGTCAACAAGAGGCTCGCAAACACCTGGCGGCCTCGCAGTCAGCCTCGCTTTGGCACCGCCCACTCCCTTCTGACTTTTTACCTGAGCAATTAAAGCAGATGAATGGAGGCCCACGCGTGCGTGTTGAGCTCCACGTCCTTTTATGTAAAGGCGTGTTTGCCCCGGCGTGTTTACCGTCACTCGCCAATGGCGGGCGGCGTACAAAATGGCCACCGCATCTGTCAAATGCTCCAAATAGGCCACAATGGGCCTCGT